TTTTAATCGCCACGCGTCAATAAAATAACTATTACTACTGCTATATTTAGAATGACCGAAACGTGATTTGACTAAAAAGGTAAAGAATCGATAAAGTATCGTCAGTTTCCCAACTCTAGCTCATTCACCTGCCTACATTATGCTACGAGGGCGGCACTGAAAATTTCGGGAATCAAAAAAGTGAAACAACATTACTATTGAAAAATGTATTTATTGCTTTTTAAAGTATTCTCCGCGAAATTTGACACATTTTTTCCATACACGAAACCAATTATTGAAGCAACCATTGCATTCGGAAGTTTGGGTCTCCAAAATGGCCGTTTTGTAGGCTTCCACAGCTTCTTCAGGTGATGAAAATCTCTGACCACGCAATTTATTCTTTATTTTAGGGAAAGTATAGAAATCATTAGGGCTTAGGTCGGGGCTGTATGGCGGATGGACTAATAATTCTATGTTTTCTTGCTCTAAAAACTCTTTTGTTCAGTGCGCGGTGTGAGAACTCGCATTGTCGTGATGGAGGATGATGCGGCGGTTGCAGTTCTCTTTACGGAGTTCAGAAACGACCTGTGGCAAACAAATGCTAGCATACTAATCTGCATTAACCGTTCTTTGTCCCCCAAGAGGAATAGTCGCAACATGGCCGGTTTTGGAGACAAACGTGGCCACCATTTTTTTTGTAACACTCCGTGAACGAACAATTTTTGTTGGCTTTAATTCATTTTCGAACACCCAAACTCGTGACTGGTTTTTTGTTTCGGGTTCGTACGCGTATATCCATGATTCGTCACCTGATACGATGTTGTATACAGCATTTGAGGATCCTGCATGTAATCTCCCGAGAGTTCTGACGCACCAAGTAACGCGAGCCGCTTTTTGCTCTTCACAGAGCGAATGCGGTATCCATCGGGAAAACAACTTTTTTACACCTAATTGTTCATGCAAGATTATTTGTATTTGACTCATGCCAATGTCTAAAGTTGCCTGAATTTCGCGGTATATCACATGTCGATCTTCTTCAATCAGCTTACGCACAGCATCAACGTTTTCTTAGGTGACTGCAGTTTTTGGACGACCTTGACGGGGATCATCACTGAGCTTGACACGTCCACGTTGAAATTCAGGAAACCAGCGATAAATTGTGGTTTTGGATGGGGCTTCATTACCAAATGCAGAAATCATCCGGTCAACACACTGTTTTTGTGTTAAACCACTTCAAAAGTCATAATAAATCATCGCTCTTGAATTTTCTCGAGTCAATTCCATTTTCTCAACGACTAAACAAGTTTGACAAGACCTTGTGATACGACCGAGAATCTTTTTTTAAATAAATAAATGGTATACGATTTTTAAAACCCTGGAGTTTGCAATTAAATAGATTTTAATATGACTGGAACAGTGGAAATATTCCATTCCCGATACTTTTAGTGCAGCCCTCGTAATGTTGCAATATGGAGAGATATTTCAGGCGGAATTCAGACCTGAAACATTTTAGACCCTTGGAAATACGGGAAGGGTTTTACCTTTGTGATGAATTTGTTGAAGTATTCTGAAACTAATACGTTAACAGATACCTGTTACGTATGTAGCGGGCACACAAGTATTTAGAACTGGAATTTAATGTACCTACTTACAAGTATCTACATCCTACAAATATTATAAATGCGAAAGTTTGTATGGATTTTTAGAATTTAGATGTCTGTTAGCATGTTTGTTACTCTTTCGCGCAAAAACTACTGAACGGTTTTTATAGCCCAGAATAACATTATAGGCTATAATTTATGACGATCTGTGACAAACTAAATTTCACGCGGGTGAAGCCGCGGGCAAAAGCTAGTCACTTGATATACAAAAGCGCTACCTTCTCCTAATTACCATGCTTACAGAGCAAGGACAGTGAGTATCATTAGTCAAATCGTTTAAAATTATTGGCAATTAACTTATTAATCATTACTCCGAAAAGTTTCTTCGATACGTTACGGAAGATTTTTATATTAATCGTTAACCCGTCTATTAATTGCGGCAAATTGGCGGTCATTACGTTAATGGTTTAATTAATAAAAAATGGAATGAGCTATGGAAATTTAAAAGATTAATAGGAAGGTGTACCATTAGTTGGTATTAATCATCATATTGGAATTATTTGTAAGTAGAAGGCACATAATTAAGAATTAACAGAGTCTTCACTGAGACAGAGACTCAATTGTATTTTCAATATACAGTTTCATTACATTCAAGCATAAGGAACCCTCGAGATGTGTACTTCTCACGTCTTTCAGTCATTGTTTTTATAACAAAGGTATATTAAGGTAAATGTAATCAGAGCAACGAAATTACCAAGAGACTGACCCAGACCCCGCCCCAGTGGGCCAGAGATTAAAAACGTAAATTTTTAACTGGATTACCTACTTAGGTAGACTTACTTATTGCTTTATTTTTTTCTCATTCATTTACGAGTATTGCTGCGATACTGTCACTTAACCAACAACAAGTGAATAATAATTGATGCTTAAATAATTAACTTTAAAAAAAAACCGACTTCAAATGCGTGAACACAAAAAAAAACTAAAAATTAAAAATATTGCGTATAAAAAAGTTCATCCCCAATTTTCCACCCTTGGGGGTGAAATATTTTCTTCAAATTCGCATGAAACCACCCTTTTGATAATACCTATTCAACAAAAAAATAATCGTTCAAATTGATTTATAATCGGCGGAGATATTGCGTATAAAAAAGTTCATCCCCAATTTTCCACCCTTGGGGGTTGTTTTTTCTATTATTAAATTTAAATGGGACCACCCTTGAGGTGTTACCTATACGCCGAAAAAAGATTTGTTCAAATCGGTTCATAATTGGCGGAGTTATCGCGTAACAAACATAGAAAAAAAAAACATACGGGTCGAATTGAGAACCTCCTCCTTTTTTGAAGTCGGTTGAAAAGGTATGTCCAGTCAAATTAAGTACCGAGTCCGGTTTTTGTGGTTTTGGGCCTAGCCACCGTACGTTCCGACCATAAAAGCTAAGTGGCTAAAGCGGCAGGAAAGGAATTTCCGAAGGTATGAAGGGTATGATCCACTCTCCTTCCATGTCCTATGCAGTTTGTACACAAGAGGATCGGCACTAAGGAGTTGGCCATTTAAATAATTGAGGTCTAATACCAGCTCCGAATCCAACAGTTCAACTGTTTGTCAAACCTTTCAAGTGTAAAGAGGTAAGTAGTTCGTGTATTGACGATGTTGGGTCGTGTTGACGCGGTAAATCGTACCGCACATCAAAAGAGTTGACCAACTCACACGAACCGCCCCAGTGGCGGATTTACAGTTTTGCCGCCCGTAGGTTTTAGGGTGGGGTTGGATCTTTATTTAACTTTTATCTTCTGAAATCGAGTAAGCGTCATCTGAAATCTGCCGTCCGTGCCTATACGGCCTATTGACAGATCCAGGACTTTACCGCCCGCCATTCACAGTGTCCTCCATAAAGAATGACATTTGAAGGTGGGCCATAGACGTGTGTTGGGTTAACTTGAGCGCGATCGGGCCCACGTCCAACTAGAGAGGGCCTGTCGAAGGCTGGACTTCAACTTGAAACCACGATAGCCGAAAGGTGAAGGGGTCGGACTGGCCGACTCGTAATATGGGGAACGCGGATTTGGTCCCCGCCGCCGCTCGACTATTGTGGTGAGCTCACTCGTGACACAAGCATATTTAGCTTAGTACGAGGGGTTAACGGGAGTATTAGTAATTACTAATAATCTTTAAAAAAAACTGTCCAACACCGCGGCGCAACCTCTAGTGAGGTGAAGCTGGACAAACTACCAACGCACGTCCATCAAAAGCCAAATTGTCTAACTAACCCATGATGAGCCAGCCACACACATCGCGATAACCCGAAGATTCTCGCTGTCGCAATGTGTGTAGCCAAGTATTCGGTTATACTTTAGTGCTTTATTGCATTTGTAGTCGCAAGACTTCGCTCCGCTGTCAAATCAATGTCGCGCCCAAAAGTTTTCGCGATGTGTGTGGCCTAAGGGTAAGAGAAGTTAAACTCATGGTCATTAGATTTTAGATTTCTAATTTTTTCTTAATGAAAATGTTATCAGACACTGATTAATACTTCCCAAATAAAAATAATATTATCAGTTTAATGAAACTCACAACTTCCTACTATTTAGAGATAAAACTCCTCCAAATGGCTTGACCGATTCTCATGAAATTGTATGTGTATTTTCAGTAAGATGTTGACTATTTTTCATAACGCTGGGTGACAATACAGGATTTTCATACATATGAAGTCACACTGGCGCAGCTATAAAAATATAAAAATGGCAGAAAGCTCAACTAATTTCTGCTCTTAGCCTGTTGGTTGTATTCTAGATAGTAATGTTGGCATTTCAGAAATAAATGGACTTATTGCATGCATTTGCAATGGATGAATTTAGTGGTTAGATTTACAAGATATTTTAAATGAAAAATTTGTAACCCCCCTTTTTTTTATACCAAAGCTTAATTCCCTGGTAATTTCCTGATAATTCTTTCAGCTAAGCTATGCTTGTTTGGAATGGTTTTACCAGTTTTTTTACGGCAGTTTATGTGTTTCAAACCAGCTATCCTCAGATCTTAAATGGGCAGTTCGATACTAACACCATGGGTCTATTCACTATTGTCGCATTTGTCACATCGAAGGTTGTGTAAGATTTAATAATAAGGTTGTGCAAACTATACTAGGTACTCTAAATTATCTAGTTGATATTTTCATGAGCTAGAATAATAATTGAAATATAAAATACGAAGTACCAACCAAACAGCATCATTATTAAAATCAATACAAGACTTTATGCAACAAGTTGCACTCTTTGAACATCAATTAAATAAATCATTTTATGAAAGATAGTTGTATAAAGAAGAGGCAGCGTAGTGCTAGGTTTCAAATTAAAACTAAAACTGTAAAAAAGCAAAAAGCATAATAAAATATGGTGAATATCTGTGGAAAATAAAATACTTACAAAACTAAAACAAGCTACTGGAAACATCTCTAAATGATCGTTCACTGAAAAAGAAATAAAACAAAATTGAAGAGCCGAAACTTAAATAAAATCAAAAACGTAATACAAATAAACCACCAATTTTTCTGACATACAGATTAAGTTAAAAAAGAAACTCACTTTTCTTTATAGTTGATGGCTGACCAAAGCTCCCTAAAATGCAAAAAATATAGTGAGTTACTGATTTTTTTCAGCAAAACTAAGATGTGAAAAGGATGAGTGAAAAACCGAAGTAGACTTACCTCCTATCTTCAAAGATTTAGCACATTTAACATGGCACTCCGTTCAATAATAACAATTAGAACAACTTCCTAGATATTTTTGTACTAGAAAACACAGATTTTAATTGCCAAAGCATAATTAAATACAATAAACAAACACAATTTTGCACTTCATTCAAAAATTTATCCACCCAACAAAACACAAAACACAAATCAATCAAATTTACCACGTTCCGTTACACATGCAATAAAAATTTAGGAAACAATAAATTTTTGATAAATTGATTTTTAAAGATTTCATTTAATTCTTTAGAACTATTTAAGTTTTTTTCTGATTTGGTTAACATTTCTTCATAATATTTTATTATAATTATTAAATAAAATATTCATAAAAATAACAATGGTATCAATCCAAAGCATGTTAAGCTGGTATAACGGAACGTAGTTCTACTTTCGTTCGGTTTGTATGTTTTTGTATTTATTGTCATAAACCCGCCAAAAAAATTTTTAGTTTTAATAGCTTTAAAAGAATCTTCTTTGAAATAAGAAGATCTATTGGCTTATAACTGGATGGATTAAAAAGCGATTTCATAAAAGGATGATGAAATGGAACGTCCGTCTCCGCGATGCATCGCGGAGTCACGAAACAAAACAAAAATGTCTATGACTCGTCTTGGTCATGTGGTCATGGGAGCTGTCAAATTACTTTGAAAAATACTGGTCGCATCGCAGCCGCATTTTATTTAACAGTTTTTCGGGATTACGTTTTGGATCGTGCGATGCAAAATGCATCGAAGATTATTTTTTAGATACGATTTAAATTATTTAAACACACATGAGGTAAGTTTCCGTCGGAGAAATTATTTATTTTCGGGGATTGATATTTTTCGATTATTTCCTACTTGATGCTTCATGTGATCGTCTCTTTCAGAAATTCCTGATTATGCATTTGGCTGAGGGTTAGGGATGCTGAAGACTACGAGCGAAGTTTGATTAATAAGAACGCTTGCACGCTGCACGCTTGAGAATGTGGAAGACGCCGCTTGTAGCCGAGTGTGTGAGACACGTTGAACCCCAGAAGAAAGAAATGTTCAGGTAAATACCTGCCTTGCTTATAAAAACGGCTTACAAACCGCATAGCTTCATAAGTACTTACTTACTCATTTTTTCCATCTTACGAGTGTAGTAGGAGGAGCACACAGTTATTTTCTTAAATTTTTTTTATACACTACGAGCTTAGATTAATAAAACCTAGATAGATAGTCAGTGCACGAAAGGTGAGGCAGATTTTAGTAAGCCAGCACCCCGATTACGGTAACTTTTAACGTCTACAATCCAGACGCGTTTCTGATTCTGCAATACGATTGGTCAAAACAGCTGACGTACGCTGTTGAACGACCAATCGTATCGCAGAATCGAGAAGCGTGTCTGGATTGTTGACGTTATAAGTTACCGTAATCGGGGCTCAGAATGGCTTACTCGTAAACGTCACATGAACTGTCAAAGTGAAAAATTGGTAAACACGTCGGACGACTTTTAATTAATTAAGACGGTTTGTGCTGTGAAAGGGTGTCTAAATACATCAGAAAAACTAAAGAAAGTGTTACATTTCATTTTTATTTTTTATTTTATTTAGGAACCAACGGCGTTACAATGAATAAATCTTAAAGTAACTTAACTATAAGTATGGCTAATTATAGGTTTCCCTGGAATATCCTTAAAGTAAATCTACCGTTCGGATTACCGAGACGCAAACTCCAAAAGATGAAAACTAGAACATTACAAATAACTTACTTACATAATATTATTATGAGAATACATTTTGACACCCTATAAAGTTGAGCCACATTTGACGACTAAATTAAGTATAATTATAATTATCTTAAAATGTAATTAATTTAAATTACTTAAACCACAGATAATATAATCTTAAACTAAGGTTTATAGTTTGACAGACAAATAGATATCAGATACCCGAACAAAATTAAATAATCACTCACCCCACAGACAACCCAAAAAAGATGTAGGTCAATTTAATAATAACTAGATTTTACCCGCGGCTTCGCTCACGTGAGATTAAACTCATTACGGATCATAACATCATTTATTAAGCATATGTATTTGGATGTATAAACAACTATGCAGCTTTTGCCCGCAGCTTCACCCGCGCGAAATTTAGTTTGTCACAGATCGCCACAGACCATAGCAAATATGTCATTCTGGGCTATAAACAACAACACTGCATAGTCTCATCAAAATCCGATCAGTAGTTCTTGCGTGAAAGAGAAACAAACATCTAGATGTCCAGACATCCAGACATCCAAACTTTCGCATTCACAATATTAGCAAGATAATACTCTAACGTGTCATCAAATTTTTTTTTTTCCTCTTAATGTTAATTAGTCAGACTACTACGGATTACTTCTTCAAGCTTCGACGTACTTGTATTTTAAAAGTGTTTTTTGAGCAAGTAAACAGATCAAGGTTATTAAATTTGTTGTTATAGTTCTCAGGTAATCTGGTAATCAGGTACAGGCCAAGAGCTTCCTTGTTCCGGATAAAAAATAAGGACTTCTCAAGTAAGGCAGATAGATGGTACTGGAATAACTACCGGTTTATTTAGAACACACAGTGTTGTACCAAACTGATTGTGAGATAAGCGTGATAATTCCACTGGAGGCACGGAACACGGGCGCGTTAAGCCGTCCCGATTGGGTCTGTGAGGCTCACAAAATCTATTTCTAGGGCTGTCTATGTTGTCACAGTCAATATAAATATCTTTGGACAATCTCACACAGCGCCATCCAGCCCCAAAGTAAGCAATTAATATGCTTGTGTTATGGGTGCTAGCTTAACGGATATACTACTTATATACTTTTTTTTTAAATATGTATATTATTATACATAATAACACCCAGACCCGTCACAGAAATTAAAATTCATCATTTCAATTTCTGCCCGGCCGGGAATCGAACCCGGGACCTCTCGGCATAGTAGTCCGTTCTGAACCACTACACCAAACGGCCGATAATATGATTGTAAAGGAAATCAATATGAGAACAGACAACATCTAGTTTAAGTGTTTCGCCCGTATTGACAAACATTACTATGAGGTCTCACAGTGCGCGTGGACGCACAGGGTGACACACGAACCAATCACAGAGCTCTATTCAACGCTGTGCGTTCGATTTGCTGCTCCGATTTAGCAAGGATCGTTTTGTAAAGGGACAATATTANATTAGTGCGGCGTTGCGGTATATGCAATAAGGGAGTGTGACGAGTACGACGTTTAGGCGTACAATATTTCACGCCTTGCACCAGTTCAGGGCAGTCGACTCGATCCCGCACTATATCAAAGAGGAAGCAAACGTCAAGCATATTTCGTCTGTCTTCTAGTGTTAGAAGACCGTTTACATGACAGGCATTTCTGTAGGGAACCGGTGATAGACGACGTCGATATGAGATGTGCTTAATGAATATTTTTTGTATGCGTTCTAGTCGTGTTTTGTGTATATTGTATTGANGTTTCGGTAATAACCTTAGAGGTTTTATTAATCTAAGACTACGAGGAAGCTCTTGGCCTGTATCTCACCTGATGGTAAGTGATGATCAGGCCGAAGGTCGAAGCGAGCTTCACCCGAAATCCTCAACCACGGAGGAACTGTCTATCTTACATCTAACTGCTGGAACACAACAATGCTGTTAACTTTGTTGATATGGCGACAGACTTAGGTAAGATGGTAGCTAGCCAGGCGGACTTAGAACAAGCCCTACCACCAACCAAACCGAACAGAAAAATCTGCCTCCACTGAACCACAGAGGCGGTAAAAGTTTTATAAATATTTATTAGGTAGTCTTTTCATATTTAGGCATAGTTTTAAGTTTACCTATTCACCAAACCAAACCTAAAATACGCAAAAAGTACTGAACGGATTTTGATGAAACTTTACAGTATTATTGTTTGTAAAGGGTGTTTTTAGAGGTTTATTTAAAGTTTGAAACGAAATAAAATATTATGTAAAAATAGATTTTCATATATTGATTTTATTTAAAAGATATTTTAATGCCATGTTTATGCTTAAAAATGGTTTCGAGCTTAAGGATGGCTCAACTGTGGCGTAACCATAGAGTAACTTGTATACAAGCGTTGTATAGGGCGTAACCAGGATGTTGACTATACTATCCCTATTAGTTACTCTATCTATGGTCCTATCGTCAACCACTTTTTCGAGCAAATTGGCCCCATTTTTAAAAAAAAAATTAATTGTTTGGTGGCGATTAAAGGGATTTATTCCACTTTGTTCACCTGGGTGAACACCCCGTAGTTTTATACACACACATAAATGACCTCATATTAATCACATTTACCAAATCATGCGGTAATTATTCATAATAACCGGCGATTATTCATAATTTTCACATTTATCACTGTCCGTAACATAATATACACCACACAGTAATGTGCCCTGCCCATTGCCACTTCAGCTTGCTAATCTGTCGGGCTATGTCAGCGACTTTAGTTCGTTTACGGATTTTCCTCATTTCTGATTCAATCTCGTAAAGAAACACCGAGCATAGCATAGCACGCTGTGCAACTTTGAGCTTCTATTTAAGGCCTACAGTGAGAGGCCACGTTTCCGAACCAAGGGCACACACATTTTACCACTTTGGAAGTGTTTCTCACGCAAACTATTCAGTTTAGAAAAAAATAAATTAGAAACCTCAATATCATTTTTGAAGACCTATTTTTTTAGTTTTAGTTCTAAGTACCCCTAAAATTTATTGCTTTTTTCCATTTTTGTGTGAAAATCTTAATGCGGTTCACAAAATACATCTTAAAAAGTTTTAACAGTATAGCTCAGTTTCGGAAAAGTGTCTGTGACATACGGACAGACAGACGGACGGACAGACAGGGTTCCGTTTTTGCCATTCGGATATGGAACCCTAAAAAATGGGGCCCTCCCTACCAGGGCCTAACAAACTAAAAACCTGACTGTTTCCGCCATGAGCCTTATGAGTGGAGAACGCGGGACATCGCCATTGACTGTTGCCTGGAGCATTCGTCCGCGTTCCCTGCTTGACTTCGGCTCGCTCAGTGCAGCCCTCATCTTGTTAAGGCCCCCTCCATGCACGGGCAGCTTAAATAGCTATAGTCTGGTCTGCGAGCACGTAGAATTTTGTCCAATGACCCCAAGCTCTTATGATCCATTTGTCCAGTGATCCTTATCGCTCGCGCGTAATTATAATGGCGAAGGAATAAAATAAAAATCGCCAAGTTGTGAGAAACATTTTATTTGCAGTTGTAAAAACTGTACAAGTCCTAACAAACTTATAAATTAACATTATATTATGGACCTTCGCATGGCACAGCTGACATAAGCCACAGCTCTCAATACATTGGACAGTATCTTAAACTATGTTGCAACTTACTTTTTCAACATTTTCTACAAAACATCAGTCAATATTTTTGATATTAAATTCCAATTAGACTCGATTTAAGCGATATGTTATAAAAGAACTTCAAAAATCGATTACCGGTCAGCTATTACGACCAGTAACAGGCACAAATAATGTTTTGGAAAAAATTGAATGAAATACAGAACACACGATTGAATCGCTCCTTATTCTAATATGGAGTAAAAATGTAAAATACGCGATATAAATTATGTACACATCTCAAAGCACCGTTTTTGACACAGGCGTTTTAATATCAATCGTTTTCTGGGCACAATCATTTTAATCACTCGGATTAAGGTTTTCCAAATCAATAATTTCGTTATAGTAATGAAAAGTACGGAATTTAATATAAAATGATTATTTTTTGCCACGGAACTTGACTTATTGTACTTTATTTAAGCTTTTCGGCAAGCAAGCAATGATTTGTGTCGATATTATTAATTTGGAAAACCTTAAAATTGTTTTTGACGTTAATCAAAAGCATACTTACAGTACAAGTTAGTACAATGGTTCAATAATACGGTTAAAATTTAACAAAAAATTATAATATGCTTATATAAACAAAACTTGTTCTATGGAGTATAATAATATATTCGAATTATTTTACTTACTAATGTTAAAATGTATTAACAATAAAAATAAGGGTCAACAAAAATCTCTACGATATTTATATACATTGAAACTTAGCTGATTAATGATAATGAAATTGGTAAAGACGTCATTGTTAGGGGTTTGGATACGTATCTACAGCTAGATAATGTGTTTAAAAGATATTTTCGAAATGCATATAATCGCTATTCATAATGAAATGCAATGTATCGATGGAAATGTAGACAGAAGGTTGAATTTCGACAAGTTAATGATTGTTCTCGCATCGAATATACGTTTAGATTGAAAAAGAAACAATGTATTAGTTAAATAAATACAATACTTAACTAATTTTCGTATGTTAAAGTTGATTTTTGTATATTATATGACTGAAGTTGAAAGCCGTCAAAAGTGCCAGATAAATATAATACTGGTAGAAATTACAACAGAAATATGCTCATATATTTTATGATAAGGTCACTTTTCCAATTACAATAATATAAAAATCTTTATTCGGTGAGCATTCACTTTAAAAATTTCGCCCAAATCATTAACGAACAAAATGTTTTATTGTCATAACATTGACTAAATCTATCATAAGCCATTGAGCGTTAATTCAAATATAAATTACAATTTATTTTTTATAATAACAAGTCATAAAAGTCGAAGCGAGTCACCTGATTATGATTGATTTAAACAATTATTGCTCATTAAAATTGATCGAAATGAAGTCATAAATAAAATCGATATACAATGTTTCCCTACACCTGGCGTAGTGGCTACCTGTTGATAAACACTGTATAGTCTGTATATACAAAATCATAAATCGTTTCAAAATTGTTAAATAACGGGTAAGACATTATTCATAATTCGTTGCGATACAACACAAAATAATAATAAATAATAGATTTCTATTAACATTCAACAACTAAAGACTAAAAAGTTGAAGTGTTGGGCGTTTAGCGTCGAATAATGATAGTTTCATTATAGTTAAATAATGACACCCGGTGTCATTATTGGGAATAATGATAGTGTCATTATTTGGCGGGAATAGTGTTGGTGAAATCGCGGAACACTTCCTTTGTGGGGCAGGCTGCTTAGACGAGATGCCAAAGGTACGCTTCTAGTTTTTAAGGCTGGGTTGCACCATCTTACTTTAACTTTGACAAACGTCAAAAATCTGTCAAACGCCATAAAAAAACCACCGGTTATCGTCGACTAGATAGGTGGTGCAACTCAGCCTAAGATTAACATTATTGCTCATTTAAAGGCGTTTCTACGACGCCCATACATTAATTTGATTGAGTTTTAAATTCTAGTTCATTTAAGGTTCAATTTGCAGCATTAAGTGACTAACCAGAGCGATGGTACAGCTACGGTAGCAAAATCGCAGTTATTACCATTACACAGATGCAATTTTACTTTGAAGTGTGGTCGTCAAGTCGTCTACTTACATCGGTTATATTAACGCGTACGTTTCGCATCTCGTAAGCGCCTCCTACGGGGCATGGCGGAGTTGGCTCGCGGTGGCTCATATCGGCCGCGTGAAGTTGGCCGGGAACATTCCCTTTTCGTTCGTCGTCTCCTTGATGCCCATTAGCCAGCCCTCCTCCTGAAAATGTGTTCATAATATTAAGCATCAACAGTATACACTACTGCAGTTTTAACGAAGCTCAGTTGGACTGAACTCGACAGTTAAATAATACAACACACATACATTTTTGTTTTGTTTTTCTATTTACAATGAAAGATAAAATTCAATCTAAACACTGATTTAGTCTATGTTTTTGAGGAGGAGCCTGACTCTCGTTACACAGGTTAACCTTATACGAGAGCGGCACATATTTTGTAATTGTAAAGTGTTTATTTTATGAAAGGTTTTTTTAATTTTTTAATTTTCAACTTTCAAAAACATTTCAATCGGGGTCCGTAGAAGATCCAAAGTCACCGACAGCCCGCAGAATCGAATCGGTTGTGGAAATTCGTAGGGAGGCCTCTGTCCAGCAGTGAGAAGAAATTCAGTTAAAACGATGGAAGTCATGACCTTTGGCTCTGGCATAGTACGCCTGTACAGTACACCAGTTCCAATTCCAGACGAAAGTTGGAGTCGTAAAACTAAGAAACTCCGTTTTCAACGTAGAACAACTATTCAACAACGAGCAAATTTGCTCGCACTCTCTTGAGTCTCCTTTGTGCTTTTGTGATTGAAGCAACTTCACTCTAATCAAATGAAATCAAAAATATTTTATTCAATTTTGACCACTCTGGTGGCACTTATGATCTAAAGCCCGGTCTGTGAGCACGTAGAGTTTTGTTTGTTTTTGAGCTCGCACACTCACTGCGGGTGCCAGTCGCACAGTCGCGACAGCAATATAATTACGCGCGAGCGATAAGGATGGGTAGCTTGGGGTCATTGGACAAAATTCTACGTGCTCACAGACCAGACTATAGACTGAAATAACATCTCACCTGTTCATCAGGGTCATCGTACTCCACGACGCGGATGACGTCACCCACGTCGAAGGACAGCTCGTCGGAGTCTTCGCGCGTGTAGCGGTACGTGGCGCGCACGCGGTACAATGTGCCCGCGGGCAGCCCGGCCAGTGTCGCCCCTGCAAGTATACGCTTTGGTTACACCTCCTCTCAAAGCAAACTATAGCCCAAGTTGGGCCAGCAATCGATTGATTCGGTAAGTTTGCCAAATAATATTTCAACGGTCTATATCTAATAGTTTACTAGACATAGGTCTACCCCATAGAAAGCTAAAACAATATTCGTGACATCCATGAATTCATTTTCGCGATCGCTTCATATAGCAGTTTTTATTTGTACGAACAGAAATGTCAGNATTCATACATAAAAGTACAAGGCAAAATATCGGGAGAGTTTAGGCTCCATTCACCAGGTGTATAAATTGACATAATAAGTTTATTATATTTGCTGCTACGGAACCCTTTGTGCGCGAGCCCGACTCGCACTTGGCCGGTTTTTTATTTTAGGTAAAAATCCATTGAGTTGCATACCCGCCGCATGGACCTATAAAAAAAGTCGGACGGATTCTCATCAACAAAATACTGTGACATTAGGATATACCAGCTCGCCTGTACGTACAGGCCGGCACGCACACATTTATACCCTGATACACCACTTCGAGTGCAAACTTCACACAGTTGACACATTTACGCGGCGAAAAAAAAACACAAATACGACATGTCTTGCGTGGTGAAATTGTGTAAAAGCCTTTCTGATCGAACGAACAAAAATCTAGGAATCACATTTCACAAGTAAACTAATAATCTAATCACTTATTTCCCCGATTTTATAAACATTAAAATATTAAAATCAAACGTCAATCACCCGACAAAATAATACGTCAAAGGCCAGTGTTCTCAGTTATTTACGTGGGAAAATTACCCGAAAAGTGGGAAATCTATAATTTTAAGACTTTTTAGGTGTTTATTACGCATACTATAGAAATAAAATAATTTATCATAATAACTGTGTATTAATGGGATATATTTTCGTAGGCAGATTTGATCCTTCCCAAGGGCGTGGAACTGCGAAATTCAAATTTTCTTATATTTTTGAAAGTCAGTGTCAGGTTGTATGTTAAAATCTATCAGAGATAATAATATTCATGATACATAAGATTATGATTACGTAGGTACACACAAGATTGATAATTTGTAACTGCGTGAATCATATTTTGATCAACATATAACCTGACACTGACTTGCAAACAAAGTAAGAAAATTTTAAAATTTCGCGTCTACCTCAACATCTTTCATCCTTTTCAAATGACACGATATAATTCCGTCTACATTTCCAAGTAACATATCTGCCCATCGATGTTTTTCTTAAGATAAATGGGTAAAATGTTTTGGCTAATATGGCATCCCTAAATTCACTCACACAATAGACAAACGCCAAAATTTTGCGTCACAGTTTTGTTGTAGCGAGAGTTCCGTCCGCCTTTTTTTATAGGTCCATGACCCGCCGTTGTGGTAAGGCGACGGGTTATGTAGGGCTCTTCCCTCCACTAAGGGGTCTAAACGTAGCAGTTATTACCTACGTATAAAAAGACGTAGCGAGGCGGATTTGAACATTTGAATTTGACAATATGCAACTTTTGCTTTATTTTTGCAATGAACGTCGATTCTTTAAAGTAGCAATGGTAACATGTTGTAAATATTTGAAGTATAAAGTTACGGAATCCAGATTCTTACAGTATGTAAAATAATCACGTATACCTTATCTTTCTAAGGTACAGATACTATTTTTTCTTTGCATTTTATAGAACAACCAGTATTCATCTGTACCTTAGAGTAGAAAAGGCCCTACAAAACCGAATAATATACAATCATAAAATTATAAATATCCAATAATAAATAACAAAACCAGGAAAATTCAATATAACAGTAAAATAGAAAAAATATATGTTAGAACACTATAAAAAGCAAAGCAAATCAAACTTCACATATTAGTAAAGCGAAACATAGCGTTACAAATACATACAGAGATACATCATACCTTCCTGGCAAGCATAATTACCTAATAGACATAAAAAAGCATACATAATTAAAAATAATATAAATATTTACAATAAGAAAGGAAAATAAATTACAATAGAATGAAATAAGTAGTACGTTATTCTATTAATACAATAAACTTACCTAATGATTATAATTTATTAGTACTTATAACCTTATATTCAAAGCATCTGTGTATTTGATTCTCTCATAACAATATTATATTTGTTACAACTGTATAACAGATGCTATGTTTTAAAAGCCCATTCAAACTAAGGTAATTTATTCGTTCGTTCGTTCGTTTCAGCCAAATGACGTCCACTGCTGGACAAAGGCCTCCTACTAGATGGACCGACGATCTGGTAAAGGTCGCGGGAAGAGCCTGGATGCGGGCAGCGCAGAACCGTGCATTGTGGAAAACCTTGGAGGAGGCCTTTGTCCAGGTAATTTGTTATTCAAATTCATTTCAATACACCTAGGTTTTAAAATAATACGATTCCATAGTTCTATAAACATCTGCGGATTTTTTTATGGATTTATAATTTTCATTATAAAATACATCAATAAATTATTGCCAAAAAGAAAAAAACAGTTTTTAACTAATATTAATTTTATCATTGTAATACGTAAAATGTGTCCTAATCCTTACAACATTAACATCATAGAATTTTATTGACACAATAAGATAAATAAGATTAATTTATTAATAATCTCTAAATCCCCTTTTCCAACCGTAGCATGAACAGGCTTTTATCCATCCACTCACCGACAGGTATGTCATAGACCTCGTCCGTCCTGCTCGCTCCCTCAGGCTTGTTATCTCCGTCCTTGTCCCGCGGCTCCCGTTTGGGTTCGACTACGGGGCGCTCCTCGCCGTTATTATTGAGTTTCTCCGGCGCGACCGGCGAGCTTGTCCCTGTTTTGGTGCGAGAATGTTTACAGTCGACGGCCGTGTGCATTCGCATAACCGCGAATGTTGTGTACTTCACGCACAAACTAATGAAGCCTTTAAAAGGCAGTGGGAATAGTTCCCATCATATTTTGAACCATATTCGCTTTTAAAGTTCAAAAACAATGAAAATTTTGATTGTTATGACTGTTAAAGGGAGCACAAAGGCTTTATCGAAATCCTTACAAAGAAACCGCTAGATCGAGCTACGGGCACCGTTTTCTATAATAATAATTTTGTAGATCGATTTGTATTATTAATTATCTAATAACTTTTCCGTTAATCCTTCTGTGTTCTAAAAAGTCTAGAAGTTGACAGGATTCGAACTAGCAAGCTCTCCAATCAGCCTTTTACGAGTATTATAGCCTGACCAGGAACATAAAAACCCTCGCCATGTTGCGGAAAACTAATGGTACTAATTTCTTTTAATGGCAACAGTAACTGAAAACTTCATTGACATGTCATCATGTCACCTTGCATGTCAGTCTATTGCTGTCAAAGAGTAAACAAACTTTATTTTAAATGTGCGCAATTGGTTTTATGAATTAAATTGCTAAAATATTTTTATTGTCGTGAAAGAAAAGTGGTTCACAATGTGTTAAAGTATTTGTCGAAGAGAAATACTAGGGGTTCGGACAATATTTTCATTGAATAATGTTTCCGACAAAGGTTGTCAAATTGACTGACATGTTTATCGTATAGTACAGTCCACTATGAAAATTTGCTGTGGTTTGTTTCAACTACCTATTTTAAAGATTTTGTCACTTTCTAAGAATTGAATTTTATAGGATTGGGAGAGAAGTACCGAGTTTGAAGCGTTCATAAGCAGACATTGCAGTTGAATATTCAAGTTCTGAATTTGATTATTGATGAATAATAAAATAAATCTACTAGCTCGATTGATGGTTTCATTTAATTTATTAATTTATCTGTCTTATGTTAAAATAGGTAGGTATGAATGAAGACATTGTAATAGAACAAGTTTTTTTAATCCTAATTAGGTATATTTGAAATGTTATTTTTACTTACCTACATACGTACCTCATTACAAATAAGTAGATTAATTATTTTTTCACTAGACAGCAACCCTAACAGCGTTAGAAGAGTTCAGAGGCACGCGATAGAAAGAGACAAAACTTGTAGGTGAATAAAATTGTAGGTACGTAGTGCTGTGCGAGCTGAATTCCACTGTATCGCGTCGCAGCAAGACTCGCATTTATTTAAATCGTCGTGCGGAGTAATCCTTCTGTACCTGTACTATTACTTATTCTGTGACTGTACTCAGTGTTGCACTATCAAATGCAATTGACGCGCCTCCATGCCAGGGTTTTTATGTTCCTGGTCAGGCTATAGAAATAGGTACATACATATTTGTAGGAACGGATACGAAACATCAAGCTTCTAACTACTGACAACAACGTATTAGTACAGCCTAGCGTACATACACATGTTATGCTTAGAATAAGAGTGTTATGGATTTTTGTAGAAAAATCTATAAATGCACAATTGGCAGTACAAGATTCTCAGTAACCACAGCCCATATAGGTATAATCTGTACATAACATTGTTATTCTTACTGGACATGAAACCTGATGCCCGTTGTCTATACACGTGAAAAGTACATAAAAATGTATTTTTGTATTATTTCTAGCTGTACATAAAAATGGGACTTTTATAATTTTCTAGATAGTTAACCTTTCTAGCTACACGTACATACAATATACCATAAAATACCACATTGAAAGTCTAGATTTAACACTAGCTAAAACCCTACCCCATCCAAAATTACCAGGCTCGCATACTCACCAACGGGTATAAGATTCTCAGTACCACAGCCCATATAGGTATAAAGTGTACATAACAATGTATTGTTATTCTTACTGGACATGAAACCTGTTACCCGTTGTCTATACACGTAAACTGAACATAAAATTGTATTTTTGGAATATTTCTAGCTGTACATTTTTATGTAGGTACAGCTAGAAATATTACCCATTTTTATGGGACTTTTATATTTTTCTAGACAGTTAACCTTTCTAGCTACACAGACCTACAAATTCACCATAAAATACCACATTGCAAGTCAAGATTTAACACTAGCTAAAACCCTACCCCATCCAAAGGTACCAGGCTCGCATACTCACCGACGGGTATATCGTACAACTCTTCCACCTTCTTGTCGTTGTGTTCGTCGTTTGTCTTATCTTCAGAGTTCTGTCGGGCGGGGGCCTCAGGTGCGGGCGAGTCTGGAGGCGTGTCTGCGGGGGCCTCGGGGGCCACAGGGGCAGAGGTGGCCACGGGGGCCTCGGGGGCCACCTTGGGGGGCCCGTCGCCGTTGAGCGCGGGCGAGGGAGGCGCTACACACACGGTCATGCTCACTACATGCGAGGGAGTTACTGGTCGTTGATGTTTTAGTTAACTTTAGATCAGTGGTTCTTAACCGGTGGTCCGCGGACCACTGGTGGTCCCTGGAAGCATTCCAAGTGGTCCACGAAGTGCACTTGCACACCTTGGTCAAAACCACTTTTAACTGATTTTTGCAGACAAACTGGTTTTGACCGATTATGAGGTGGTCCCTGACAAGACAGAAATTTAGTAAAATGGTCCCTCATGACTTAAAGGTTAAGAACCACTGCTTTAGATAGTTAAGTATGTAAGTGGAATTTTTCGGTTTTTTATATAACCTAAGGAACTAATAAGTGGAATTTTTCGGTTTTTTATATAACCTAAGGAACTAAGCAATAATGTGGCTTTCTATTGGTGAAAGAATTTTTAGAATCGGTTCAGTAGATCCCGAGATTACCCCTTACAATTTAACAAATATACAAACACAAACTTTACCTCTTTATAATATCAGTATAGATTTAGGTTGACGCGGATTGCTTATTCGTTAAAAAAAACATAACCCTCCTTCTGACGCAGTCGGGTAATTGAAGATGGAACGGCAAAATATTCTTAGTTGCTTAGTAAGACAATGGAAATATAGGCGCTACATTATTTTGCACCTTATTGCCAAATATTATGATGCAAAACTAATGAGAGGCCTGTTTAACCTAACTTTTACAAATGATCAAAACAATATTGATAGAAAGTGCAAAAAAGATATAGTACAGAGCGCATGTTTACATTCGATTGCGATAAGCTAATGCTCTATAAGTATGCCAAATTGCATTTTTAATTCGAGTGCACCACATTATTGCACTCAATATGCCAGATTTATTGGGCTGAGGTATTTGCTTCCGTGCCAACTGAACTCATTTTGGTACCCGAGTTAGAATGGGAATTCTTTGAATACTAAAGGTTATTTATTTTTAAAGAATATACACGCGTTGAATAGGTAATAATAATAAAGGAAACATCAACAACCAGTACTTTCCATATTGACACAAAAACAATAATTATTTACAAAAAATATTAAAAAGTTAAAATGTCAAGACTGAATAATTACTTTTTGCAATTTGTTTTGCAAGGCCACTGACATTCTTTACATAATTTAGCTTTAGCTACTCAGTACTCACGTTAATATCATATTATATTCCAAATATTGTCAGTATCGAGGCCAAATTAATTAATAATTATTTAATTCTTAGACGCTCACACAACAGCCAATCACACCACTCACACTCCAAACGGAGTCAGTTTGCAATGCAAGGGCGCAACTTACACAAAATTTATGTTAACACTGCGTCAAAACACATAACCACTCGCATCATCAGCCATTATGGCTAACCCACTCAAACTTCAAAAACATCGGTTGGTGCTTTGTTAATGTCATTGCACTACATCAAAACACGATAGCCACTCGCATTATAACATAGCCACTGCACAAAATAGATAGAAACAAAAGACAATCACCCGTATGTATTTCATTTTGCATACGCACACAGACGCGTGTATAAAGTGGGCGAAGAAATATTTTGAATAACCAATCTGGTTTCATTCTGTTAATAGACTATGTGACACCATACCCCAATAATTCGAAATCACATCTTTTTTAAAAATAGGTACACTTCCGTCTTAAAAACTTAATTAAAATAAAAATTTTTGGTTGCATTGTAACTGAAAAAAGTAGTTTAATTAATAGTGACGTCACAGGCTTGTATTGCCATACAAAATCTGTCTCGTTTTGACAGTTAAAAAGTACGTCAACCTGAATGAAACTGATTCAAAACATTTCTCCGTTCCGTGGTGGAAACCGGGCCTAAGACTGGTTCGCGACACTACGAGCGAGATTGGCAATATCGTAAGTCCACTGTGTATGTAGATTGTCTTCTGCTTCCATCTATTGCGTGGCCACTGTGGCTAACTCACTCTGTACGGTGTTGGTGGGCGACGGCGCGTTTCCGTTGTGCGAGTTGACGTTGGCGTTGTTTGTCTGCGGCACGTTGTTGGCGATGGCCTTCTTGCTGTACGACCCGCGCTGGCAGTCATTTGCCAGCTTGTCTGTGATCGCTTCTAGTTCGGCGAACACCTGGAAGTTTGGGATGAGACATTTATGTGGGCTCGAGAGATATCCGTAGATAAGTGGAGACCCGCAGAAGTAAAGTGACTGACATAGCCCGCAGAATCGAAAGAAATTAGCCATGTAAAGCCTGGTCCGTGAGCACGTAGAATTTTGTCCAATGACCCTAAGCTACCCATCCTTATCGCTCGCGTGTAATTATATTGCTGTCGCGACTGTGCGACGGGCGCCCGCAGTGAGTGTGCGAGCGCGACAGCAACATAATTACGCGCGAGCGATAAGGATGGGTAGCTTAGGGTCATTGGACAAAATTCTACGTGCTCACGGACCAGGCTTTAGCAATGAGCTATGTAGCTCGCAGAGCTGATGACTGCCAAGTCAGAAAAGTTCTCGAATGGCGACCACGAGCTGGCAGACGTAGCCTCCCACTAGGTGGACCGACGATTTGGTGAAGGTCGCGGGAGGTGCCTGGATGTGGGCGGCGCAGGACCGGTCTTTGTGGAAATCCTTGGGGGAGGCCTTTGTCCAACAGTGGACGTCATTCGGCTGAAACGTACGAGAGAAAGATAAGTTAATCAGACCATGTACCTACATTTTTTGAATTTTCTCGCTTTTTCTCAACATGTCACACCAAAACGAGCAACAGCGTGATTTAATGGCTTTATTTGTTTTTGTTTACCCTCTCTGATTTACCTGAGGCAAGTTGAGGATATAGCCTAGACTTCCCACACAAGATCCCCACATCGCGTGTGGATTTGTGCATTTCATAGAAAGATTTTGCAGCGTTCCCTTATTACGAATAACATCAACAATACAGGTATGAATCGTAAGGCCTTATAACGATTCACTGGTCAATCGACACTGGCATAATCGTAGCAAAAATAACTTACAACCGCAATTAAAATGATGATAAAACTGGTCTTCAAAATAAATATATTTGATTTGATTCATGCACTGGTTGAGTTTCTTTCGAAATTAGTTGCAAAGATGGGAACGAAAGGTGGCAATAGTCCTATTACAGAGTTCACCCTTACGTTGGAGCTCTCCGCGAGGAAAAGTTGTTCAGCCGAGAAGAGCATCTGCAGCTTATTAAAGTAAAGCCTGGTCCGTGAGCACGTGGAATTTTGTCCAATGACCCCAAGCTACCCATCCTTATCGCTCGCGCGTAATTATGTTGCTGTCGCGCTCGCACACTCACTGCGGGCGCGCGTCGCACAGTCGCGACATAAGGATGGGTAGCTTGGGGTCATTGGACAAAATTCTACGTGCTCACGGACTAGGCTTTAGAACAGCACGCTCGAATTTGAGGGATGCCCGATATTCACTTATTTCTCCTTCAGTCTTTACACTATAAGACACCATNTCCTTCAGCTTTTAAGTTTTGTCACACTTATTCTTTAACAAATTCGCTCGTCAGTTTGCACACATTTCCCAACAGAAATAAAACGTATTTATTAATAAAAAGTCATTATTTTGAAGAGCACTCATACGGCCCGTGTGCGGTGTGAGTGATCCTAAATAATCGTCATAACTTTGGAACGGGACGTGCAAGGAATTTCTGAATTTGTTAATAGTTTTAACATATTCTTAACAATTTTTCAATACTATAAAAAGAAGTGGAAAGGCTTTATTTTCTGAAATAAACATGTTGACGTTTTCTTAAAGCGTGCGGTATGAGTGCTCCTATTTATTGGCCATAACATTTTTATCTTAGGTTTAACAAATTTTTAAACTTCATCGCAATGTTTTAACATATTTTAAGTAAAACTTCCTCGATTTTTGTTAAGATTGAAGCAAGGATCACTCAATCCACATGCACATCGAATTTGGGGTATGCCCGATGTTCACTTAATTATCATTCAGTCTTTACACTATTTATAAGACACCTTACTTTCATAGTTATAGAGTTTATTTCCAGTCAGCTTACCTTGGAACTCTCTGAGTGGAACAGCTGCTCAGCCGAGAACAGCGTCTGCAGGTTGTTTACGTAAAACATGGCTTATTTAGATAGATATAGAGCTTAGTTTCAATCAGCCTACCTTGGAGCTCTCCGCATGGAAAAGTTGTTCAGCCGAGAAGAGCGTCTGCAGGTTGTTGACGTAGAACAGCACGCGTGAATCGTACAGCGCTGGCAGTTCGTCGTGCAATTCCGAGTTTAGTACTTCGTAGGTCCTCTTGGCTTCTTCTAGCTGTTCTCTGCCCTTTGTCACCTGGAATGCAAACGTAGGTCTTTTGAAATACACTTTCGAATTCATTTTTTATTGCAAAAAATGTAGGTGCAATGGGGATGTTGCCTGGGTCAAAAAGCAAGAGTTTTAATTAGTCCGTCAGTTAACTTATCAAAAAATACTCTACACGTATTTTTCACTTTTTCAAACTAATGAAAATTTAAAGAGATAAAGCGCCCCAAAGTTCATAAGAAGAGGCCCGTGACGTCAACGCTTGCTTAAAAATGCCGCACGTTGTGACGTCGTGCGCAACTTCAACGCACCATAACTATGTAATTATTTGTTAGATTGACAAATAAAAATATATGTGTCCAATATTTTTTGATATTAAACATTACGGACTAAACACATTTTTTTAGGCAACTAGCCTATAGACAGTCCATATTTACTGGAAATTCCCACCTATTTCAACCACGTGAAACGCTACAGTGTTTGGCTTATGCCGTCGTCTCTATATAAAATGAGGTGTTCAGCTACTTTGGTCATTATGGCGTGCCCGTGTTGATACATAATACATAAGATAATATACATTAACGACAGGCTGTCTGGCCAGACAGCATGATCAGCATGTGACTACGGCGGGTGCAATACGGTCAAAACTTCAGGCAAAAACAGGTCATATTTTATTGTAGCCTGTTTAATACCTGTGATTAAGTCACAATTAAATTATTTTTATTAATGTTACCTTAACGTCATCCCGTCTCTTCGCCGCGTTCGCCTGGAGGTTCTGGAAGCTGTGCCTTTGGCTGTCGTAGTCCACTAGTTTGCGCCCACGCTTCTCTACTTTTTTCTGTAACATAACATTTACATTTTATGTCAAAAATAATGTAAACAAAGCTGCGATCACAACAGATTGTACCTAAAGTTTATCACTATGAATGTTAATGTCATAACTGGTTATTTGATTATGTCATTGCTTTATCGTATCTAAATGCCGTGTAGTTTACTGATTTTTCACGGTTTAATTGTAGTACCTACCTAAGGTATAGTTTCCAAGATTTATAGAGCATTAGCGATAAACGTAGGTATAGGTACTTAATGCTGAAAACGTTCCGATTAAAAGGTAGTTAATTACACCATGACATAGGTTCCGAATTGCCCGTTCACTTTCGATCAATACGTGGGTAGCGATGGCCTATCGCTGCCGGTTATTGGACTACTAAAGTGCTTGTAACTTGAAGTACACCTACACAAAGACTCAAAGGTTATAATTGTATGAGGGCAGTCCTGAAAGTGGCATTAACCTTGGAAATAATCATTTGCAATATTAAGTTAAAAATATGATAAGCAAGTGGGTTTAAGACAGCAAGCAGCTAATAATAAGATAATTATTCGGGTCCAAAAGTCGTTTCCGATGACAGGTTATTTGTAAATTTTTTAGGTAAAATTCAAGGGTCCAAACATTCGAATTGACTAAATATTAGGTGTTCAAAATGCTCGACTCAATCAATCAATCTATCGACATAAATGTGTGGCGATCAAGTGGCACCCTTATTAAAAAAATGGTTACGGATGGATTATCACACCTAGTTGTACAAATTACAGAAGGAGAAGCTATTGGCCTGCATCTCACCTGATGGGTGATGATCAGACCAGCGGAAGCGAGCTTCACCTGAATTTATTAACCACTAATGAAGAATGTGTAGGTAACATTGTTGTTATGTTAACCTTAGGTAAGATGCCTTTATAATTTAGTTTCATCATCATCATTATTTCAGCCATAGGACGTCTACTGCTGAACATGGCCTCTCCCAATGATTGTTAGTGGCATGATTTTCATGTTGATCGATTGGTAGTGGCCTGCGTCCAGCGCCTTGCTACCTTTATGATATGTGTGTGTGTTGAGCGGTATGAGCATTTGGTCGCCGAGCTTGTGCGAGAAGTCCTGCCACAGCATCTGCATGTTCTGCGCCTGGACGTATGGGCCAACACACCTAGCAGTAGTTATAGAAGTCAAAGCGTCAACACTCACTCTGACTTCAGGGAACTGGTTGGTGTATGTGTTGAGCGGTATGAGCACTTGGTCGCCGAGCTTGTGCGAGAAGTCCTGCCACAGCATCTCCATGTTCTGCGCTTGCACGTACAGCAGGTCGTGGCCCGACCAACCGCTCTCGTACACTTCTGTGATGGCTTCCATCAGGGATTTGGAAGCTGTTTGCACCGCTGGAAATTGAGAGATCAAATTATTGTGACGATTTCTTTGAAATTATCAGGAATTCAAATTCCGTGCTCTCCTTCAATATGACAATTCAAGTAAGTAAGGATAGTCGTCATAGTGATTTATACTGCCACAGCAGCTGTTTATACACTATACATTGTACAATGTAAAATTGCTTGGATGCACAATTATTAGCGTTAAGACTGCCTAATTTTGCCGTTTGATAATAGTATTTACTTATATCATTTGTCATTTTTTTGTAGTGTGCAATAAAGAGTATCTTAGTATCTAATAAGGAAGAAGACTTATCCTTATCTTGTTATTCACAGGAGTTTAATAGGTTTACTACTATTGGTGGTAACGTCAAATTGTAGATCAATGATGAATCAGCTATTCTAATAATACCTACAATAATAATTTTTTAATGTATTTTTCAGGACCGGATAGGAAACTACAGTGAGCCACAGTTCCAGCTATAGTCTGGTCCGGGAGCACGTAGAATTTTGTCCAATGACCCCAAGCTACCCATCCTTATCGCTCGCGCGTAATTATGTTGCTGTCGCGCTCGCACACTCACTGCGGGCGCCCGTCGCACAGTCACGATCACAGCAATATAATTACGCGCGAGCGATAAGGATGGGTAGCTTGGGGTCATTGGACAAAATTCTACGTGCTCCCGGACCAGACTATACCCATTTCGGTTTTTTCTCTCGCTCTGATCAAATGGCGATTCTTTGCTATAGAACGAGACGACATGACCGGAAATGGTACTAATAGTATTTTAGTATTATTTTAGTGTAAATGGGCTAATAAATAGGATCCTCACCTCTTATACATCTTATGTAGTTATTAAACTCTTTCTGTAGCCTTGTGGCCTGCTGGTGCTGTCGGTTGAAGTTCTGCAGGTGTTCCTCGAAGATGTCGTCCAGAGTCCGGTCCACTTTGCCCAGGTTCTGGAGGAGCTGTGAACAAGAGAGAATCAACTGTTAGTACGATAGAAATAAGGTTTCTATTAAGATGACAATAGATAGTTCTCAGCTGACCAATTCTTATTGTCAAGGCCTTTTTAGTCGTACGTTGAGAGCACGAGTATGATTCTATGAGTGTTTCATACCGTAACGATGGCGAATGAGTCAATGGAGATAACAGATTTTCTATTGTGTTTAGCGTGATCTGTAAATTTACTTAGAACTCAAAGGTGTCTAGTATTTTAGATGTTGATGGCATAGGAAATCCCCATAGACAATGCGTACAACGTCAAACGACGGCAAATTTATTTGGCATTCAAGCCAATGAATTACGGCCAGCTTTTGTGTCTGATCTTTCACTTCAGCCCTTTATTCCTTCAAGGGCTCATTTCATTGGAGTCTATTGAATTCCATATTTGGTGCTGCTGATATATTAACGTTAGGTGCTGATATATCATTTGTATAGCTACTGGGGAAGTTATTGAATTAATAGCCTTGTAAATATTAACAGTTGTTCTATAGGTACTATAGAATCTATAGTAAATAAAGGGTAATAGGAAAATTAAAATGCATGTAGAACGAAGTTTTATGGTCTGATTTAACACGGCCCTGGGGTCAATCTGTACTGTGCAACAAATGCATCTCAATGCACCGTATACAGGGCACAGTTTAATCTATAACAATTGCAACTTTATTGCTATGTTCCGGCTTGATAAATATAGAGTTCCCGGGAACGTGTATATTGCAAAATGTTAGTTTTTGAGTCCAATGCCTAATCAATTTGTTTCAGGTGCAAAAAATTAACTAAACATATGGGGTCCCTAACAGGAATTTCCTGTCATTGTATCTAATTGAGCTAGAAGCATTTTTGAAGATATTACTAAAAGTAGAGCCCATTAAGTAAAGGTAAAGGTAAGTATGGAGTGGTCGTGGATTTAAAATACTGGATTCATTTTATTGATAATTGCTAGTATTTATCATCAGGTCCTTATTCAGAAATGTTATTCAATAAGTAACATAACTACACGATAATTAACACTTTAACATGTCCAATTTAATTTACTAACTGTTCCAGCTTAGTGGACTGCATCAAGGTAGCACTACACTAATTAGGTCCTAATCAATCGTACGTAACACTGATATCTGTCACCCCGTGCGTTACATGATTAGACCACACGTGGGAAGCAGCGAAAGTGGCCGGCCGACTGCCAGTTGTGCCACCTACGTGTTAAACTGTGAACGGGGTTTGGAAGCAACTGTTTGCATAACTGTGAGGTTCTAAAGGTCTTGAAGTGTGTTGTGGACAAATGCTTCAGTGACTGTCGTTTCAAGGCAATGGCAGATAGAAAGAACAGGTTTCCATTAGCAATCGCAGACATTGTTAAACAGTAAAATAGTGGCTTGAAATTCTGATTGACATGACAATGTTTATAAAAAATATTATTTATCAGACGATTTTACTAAAAGGAGATCATTCAGGCTTCATACATTTTTGGGCCTTTTTTGAAAGTGCCGGCCAACAAAAAAAAATGGTGCGTATTATTAGAACTAGCTATTTGGAGCAATAGTTAATATGGCATAAAAGTTGTAGGACCGCTCTGAACCAAGTTATACAAGTTCGATGATTCATCATTTTCATGCATTTATTGATTTTTGAAAGTGCAGAGAATCATATAATGATTATTGATATTGATAGAACTAGTTATTTGAAGCATCTGTCATTATAGTGCGAAAGTGTGGGTTCATTGTCTGTTCAGTTATTTAAGTGACAAAAAAGTAGTTTTCATGTTACTTCATTTTCCACCAGTTCATCCATTATAATCTGAGCAATATTTATAAAACCTTCCTCTCACGAAGCCCAGGTGTATCTACGCCGTGTACCAATATCTCCACGACAGCTTATACACAAATGATTAGCCACTTCACACAACAAACGGAATCTGAGTCGAATATTCACATATAGTCCGGTCGCCGAGCACGTAGAAGTTTGGCCAATGACCCCAAGCTACCCATCATTATCGCTCGCACGTAATTATACCTATTGCTGTCGCGATTGTGCGACGGGCGGCCGCAGTGAGTGTGCGAGCGCGACAGCAACATAGATTCGTGCGAGCGAAAAAGATGGATAGCTTGGGGTCATTGGACGAAATTCTACGTACTCGGCGACCGGGCTTTAACAATGATGTTTAACGATAACGCAAGCAGGTAGCCGTTTGATGTAACGCGAGTCGCATGGATAACTGGATGACCTTCACTTCAGTTTTCAATGTCCCCGTCTCATTCACTGACGGGTATGCTCCGAGCCATCCTATTGGCTGGCATGTTTGCTCGTTTCTTCCCGGCCACAGCGACACTGCTAGCGCGGGCCACGGATGTATCTTTTTCGTTTCGTCATCGCGTCATTTGATCGCTAACTTAGAGCGGTCGGTTGATAATTGTTTTGGATCATGAGTTTCTAACAAAACATATATGTAATTATTTTCAAGTTTGCCAACACTTTAAAAGTCAATAAATGTATGAAAATGATGAATCATCGAACTTGTATGACTTTGTTCTGAGTGGTCCTACAACTTTTGTGCCATATTAACTATTGCTCCAAATAGCTAGTTCTAACAATACGTACCATAATTTTTTGTTGGCCGGCACTTTTAGAAAAGGCCCAAAAAGAATGATGTCCTTTCAGGTATTGCTACTTTACCCAAAAATTAAAGACAATAATACCAATTGCGAAATTGGTGGGATATTGCAAGATACTCGATAACTTAGATTACCCGTCATGCTGTTTCTATTCTACGCGGTCCAATCCCAACCTGTTCCAACAACAACAATTAAAATTTTCACTAAATCGATACGATCAATTAAAGGTAGGTACGTTATTTTGATATTCCCTAGCCATGCGAAACAATGGTTACGCATAGGTACCTACATTCAGGAATAAAAGGCCATAGATTCATAAAGATTTGCATGTACAGTAATAAGTGTCGTCATGCGCAGAAGCTCCTAAAGCTGGCAGTGAATTATTATGAATGGGGTCACAAACTTTGAGTTTCGACGAATTAAAAGATCCTGGTATTCTCTAATATCTGAACCATACATTCTGCAGGTGCAACAAGTATGCGAACAATAGGCCTCGGTTGTCTGCTCCAAGGTCGCCAGTTGACGGATCGCCTTACGAAATTGCTGTTCCGCTGACGGCTTGTTACACTCCCATCAATGGATATAAAGGGTACGCGATGGAGGGTACTACGTGGTTACGCAAATTTTGAAACAAACGTTTGACTTTCATTTAAAGCATGACAAGAAGCGAATAAGATAAGTGTACGTGGAAAGCTCTTTCTAGAGCTTCACAAAGTAAGAACGAGAGGAGACCAATTCAATACTAAAGTTCAGCGATAATGAAAATTACCAAAATAGCATAACATTAATAAGTAACACAAGGTTATAATTTTATAGTCTGGGAGAAGTTATTCAGCAAACAATTCGTTTTTATTGGCATGCTCCAGACGGAAAAGTGGTTATTAAACTCATACTTGCGAATTATTTGGCGACTTATTTCTAGCACGTTACTATACAATTTCTATTTACAGACTGTATTTCCCGCCATCTGGAATGGAGTTGAAGTTAAACCCATTCATTTGAAGTCCAGTTATCATAGCCAGTTGAAGAATTCGCACGGAAACTAATGATAAGTATGGTTAGATGAAGATTACAATGTTATTGGTGTCATCCTCGGAACGGTAGAAACTTGTATAGAAAGTTACCCTTATAGCTATCCATCATGACGTGTGTACATTAGACTTACATGACGACTGGTTTGAATAGTACTTCCGTCATCAATGCGCAGAATGGATGGAAACGACGATAGTTTAAATAATATAAATTCTTCAACAAAACTATCAAGTGTGTGAATATTAAACAATTCATTCCTTTCTAATACTATTCCTACTCAATACTCTACTAACATCGGGACCTACCTTGGTTCATTTAGTAATGAGAAATACATGGATAATATAACTAAAATTGACAACAACAAAATTACAGATGCCCTGATCAGCTTATTCACTTAACTCTTGAATTGATGTTTATGTAAAAACATGCTAGTTTTTTAGAAAGATTAGATTAGAAAGATTGCTAATCACGAAAGATAAATCCCAATACCAAGCCAGACTGATTTTATAAGAGTAGCACACACGATATTTCCACAATTTTACTCAATATAGGATACATTTGCCCATAAGTTAATTAACAACCACCACACAGAAATTGGAAACCGACCGTGAACAATACCTCATAGTGGAGAATTGATGACATTTTCTAACGTTATGCTATGTTACTATTAGTTAAATTCATAACGCTAATCCATGAATGGCTCGGACACGGGGTTATGGCTGTGTCATCGCCCGAGCCATTGTTTCAAGCGTATGTGGACGATATTATAATGGATCCCACGAACGGATGCGCGAGCGCTGCTTTACGGGGAAGCGCATGGATTTCTTCAGCAGTTATAAATGGAACTATTTTTAAAACTATGATGTTGCTATGCAATTTTTTCAAATGGTAAATAATTATGCGTTATGTTTATCATTTCATGACAGTGAGTATTTGAATATTTTACTACAATGAGCATGTTTGAGGATGTACGCGAAGTGATTACGCTAATTGCTAATGATGTCCATTTCCTATCTATTTTAAGACGAGCTGCCTCATTTTCGGAAGTCGCTATCAGGTGAACGTCGTTGCCTCCATTACGACCGTGACGTCACATCCTCGCACGCTTCCTTTCATTTTCGATTGTCTTTGATCGAGGCACAGAATAAGTAATAGTACAGGTACAGAAGGATTACTCCGCAAGACGATTTAAATAAATGCGAGTCTTGCTACGACGCGATACAGTGGAATTCAGCTCGCACAGCACTACGTACCTACAATTTTATTCACCTATAAGTTTTGTCTCTTTCTATCGCGTGCCTCTGAACTCTTCTTACGCTGTTAGG